AAGGAATGTCTCGCGGTAATATGGACGATTACAAAGTTCAGGCCTTATCTCTATGAGCGCCCATTTAAAGTTGGGACTGATCACCACGCTTTATGTTGGTTGGCTAACCTCCAAAACCCCTCTGGGTGATTAGCACGATGGAGTCTGCGACTTCAGGAGTTTGATGTCACCATCGTATACAAGTCGGGTAGAAAGGTTGAAGACGCCGACACGCTATCACGAGCACCTCTGGAATCCGATCACACAGCTGTAGAAGACGACAGTGCCTTCCTGGGGACTCTCAGTGGGGCAGACCTCCTCAGTAAACAACGAGCGGACCCCGAGTGAAGGCCTATCATCGACCATTTAAAAGGCAGCACCACGTCTGTTCCTCGATCACTTTCCTGTACGTGGCCGTCATTTTGCTTACGCCATGACATATTATACAAGAGAAACACCGGTGCCGGCAGCAGATCTTATCTTCTAGTCGTTCCTCAAGACCTTCGTGATGACATCATATTAGCCTGCCACGATGAGCCGACATCCAGCCATCTGGGATAGTCACGGATGCTCGACCGGATACGACAGCCATATTTCTGGCCAAAACTCGCAGCTTGTGTCAAACGCTACTTGAAAGGATGCCGCGAATGTCAGCGTCACAAGTCACAACCTGTAAAGCCTGCAGGCCTCATACAACCCATCGACCCACGGCATACGCCATTTGACTAAGTTGGAATGGACCTCCTTGGACAATTTCCTTTGTCCCCTTCTGGAAACAAGTGGATTATCGTTGCAACTGATTATTTGACGCGTTACGCAGAAGCGAAGCCACTGCCACGCGGTACAGCATCTGAAGTCGCCCAGTTTTTTATGCACCACATAGTACTTCGTCATGGCGCCCCGCCATTCATCATCCCTAACCGAGGGACAGCGTTTACGGCAAAACTGTTGGACGACCTCTTCAAGCTCAGTTACACGAACCACCGTAAGACAACCACATACCACCCCCAGAGTAACGGCTTCACAGAAAGGCTGAACAAAACATTGGCTGACATGATTTATATGTACGTGGATGTGCAGCTTGAAACGTGGGACGAGATCCTGCCGTACGTAACGCTTGCACATAACACCGCAACCCAGGAAACGACAAGGTTCGCACCCTTCCGCCTCTTTCATGGTCGAGACGTGCAAACCATGCTAGACGCCATGATTTCTTGTGACATCGACCAGCACGAGCTGCTAACTCTTGATGTCGAGGATTACATTCAGCGTGCAGAGGAAGCACGTCAACAAGCTCGCGTGCACATAAGATCGCGGCAATGTAAAGAATTCCGAAGGTACAACATCCACCATCGACTAGTTACCTATCGAGCTGGCGACCAAGTGTGGGTTTGGACTCCTGTTAGAAGGCGAGGTCTCAGCGAGAAACTCCTGAGCAAGTACTTCGGACCCTACAAAGTATTACGGTGGTGGAACGAGGTCAACTATGAAATCATTCCGGACGGAGGCTCGGATGACCCAGCGCCACTCACCACGAACACAGATTGTGCATGTCGTCCGCTTAAAACCTTATTTTACGCAGTAATACTCGCCTTATTGTGCCAGGGCAGCAAATATTTTCTTTTTTTGTTGTCCATAGGGTCTCGAACTAACTTTGAACTGTAATAATGCTTTTTTTTATGACCAACCACAGACATTTCTTTTTTTTGCACCTGCATATGCCCTGTGCACTATAAATATTGTTTCTACCTTTCTTTTTATTCTCTTATGGGCCCTGCTGTCACCTTGTGTATGAGCATCGAGTCTATGCTCTAATGGGAAGGGGAATAATGCCACCTAGAGTTGTGAGCCGGCAAGCCCTAGCGAGCCGAAAAAGGAAAAGAGAACAAAAAAGGAGTGTGTGTTAGCGCTTCGTTTACAGATACACGCGACAGTTTGTATTCTTTTCCGAGCCTGGTGTCTTTTTCAATGAGCATTGGTCCCGTGTATATAAACCCCAAGTGCTATTTATTCAAACACTTCTAGATGCTCTAAATGCTAATATATTTGAGATCACACCAGCTGTCAAACCAATCGGCCAAGTGCAAATAGAATTTCACGATATCTTCCCCATGAACGCTAAACACTTGCCCTCTAAATATTTGATTGGTTTATTAGAACAACACCTGTCTCAATTAGTTACTAATATAGTAATTGCAACGGATGCATCTATGAGTGGCGAGAAGGCAGGTGGTGGTATTTTTTCTCTCTCATTATTCTGGTCATTTTCATTACGCCTCCCAGATTATACACATATGTTTGAAGCGGAATTGATGGCCGGTATACTAGCTATCTGTAAACTTCCTGCGAGTCATTCGGCAGCTGTGATAGTGTCAGACTCGTATTCCGTGTGTTCATTTTTATCATCGTCGTCGACATCAGCAGTGCTAGAAACTTTTAAATCATTAATCCCAACAAACATTCGTCTAGTGCGAATATGGGTGCCAGGTCATCGTAGTATATTTACAAACGAAATGGCTGACACACTTGCGCCAACATCTCTTGATCTTCCGATTGTGCCAATCATGCCTCCTACAGCTTATGTAACAGCAGCGAGGTTTAGAAAACTTTCCCTTCTTGAAGACTCATCAAAAATTACGATACCGAATCCAGATTTTTCGCACCTGCACTTGACATAGAATCATAAATGGTGTCCCACGCGTAAATTGGAAGTCTTGATAACAAAATGACGTTGCCGTATACCACCTCTTAATTTCTACTTAAACAGGTCTGGTCTGGTGCCATCCCCTCTGTGCTCAAGCTGTAACGAACCTGAACATATCGACAATTTTCTTATCACATGTCACCGTTTCAAAAATGAAAGAAAAAATTGCTTCAAAATTTTATTCAGAAAACTAGGAATATCACTTCATACTCACAATATTTTGTCTTTTGGGGCCACTTCATTGGGACACAGCGACAGAAACATCTGTGGGGCTCTCTGCGAATTTGTATATAACACAAGAAGATTAACTTGCTGAGTCGGTGACCAGCTCTAGAATTTTACTAGCCACACTACCACTTAATATTTAGCTGATACACTGCAATAATTCAACTTTCAGAAGAATTTCATATAACGATTACACCAGAGATATTCAACAAATTGTATTATTTCTCTCCTCCCCCTTTTTTCTTTTTTTTTGAATTGCGCCAAAGTAGTTTCACAGTAAAAACACAGTAATTATATTCCCCTAGTCTAGAAAACCTAAAGGTATTGACTTGCATTAACCACCGGCTTCTTGACCAATCCCCCTTAGTGAATAAAAGCCACAAAAGAAAGGAACAAGCAAGCAAGCAAACACGCTCGTGTCTTTCTGCCCCACTGTTCCTGTCTTGTCTTCACGGCTCTTGGTGCGTGACAATATAATAAGGTTTTTATCGCTGTACTTCTGCCCCTCACATTATTTATTTTTGCTAATATGCATCACTTAAGTGCGAAGAACCTGCCGACAGTCACTCGTTTTCCTACCTTAAATATGTATCGGAAAGAAAGCGCATATTCAGGAGAGGAAAGCGGCTAAGCTATAGAAGCATGAGAAAGCAAGAATAAGGGGAGGGACATAAAAAGGAAAGAAAAAACAGACAATCCTGTCCCCCCTGTAAAAGTGTTTATTCCTACTTTTCAAGGCTTATGGTGGTCGCCGAATACAACCTTAAAAGAATATATTTTTTGACTTTCTAAAAGAAGAATTGTAGACCCTCTTCGTATTGTCTTCACGCCGGATAATAGCAAGGAAATACCCGAAAACGAACGTTTTCGGGTATATCTTCGGGGAAGCACCTGAAGCACTTATATCTTTCCTGGAAGCACCCAAAAACGAACGTTAGAAGACGTTTGTTTTGGATTGGCCAATCCGCTTCGAAGCAGCTTCATATCATTTTTGTGCTACCTGGGAATGCGCAGTAGTTCGATTTAAAATGGAGTTCCTTAACTCGCACAAAATCTTCTCAGCAGAGAGTCATATCCATGGGAGCTCTGGTGAACCAAATATGTAGGGGAGCTCTGGCAGTGCTGTCATATCTAGGCAAGTTTTGGCGAACAAGTCTGTCTGTTGCGCCCTGGATAGCATAACCCTACCCTGAACATATGTTCTGATGGTGACACGACTTGAGGTCTCAGAAGGGACGAACAAGGCTCGGAGTTCATGTAGCTTTGGATTGACGCATGTGTTTGGCATTGTATCCTGCATCGTCGTGGCAACAGACGTTTTGCTTCTTGTCGGCGCGCGTGAGAAGCAGAGCTAATAGGATGATGTCTACTTTTTTGCGTTGTTCACGGGGTATCTTTATGTCTCTTTTGTTACTTTCTGTGGCGTTCTCTCAGTTTGTTGGATCGTAGACACGGCCTTGACAGATGGTTTCCGTCCGACCGGTCAGTAGTGAATTCTACGGCAGTGGACCCACGTCTTGTTGAAGCGGGCTGAGCTCAGGTGGTATATTGGGTGCTAAAGTAGGATACTTTCTGCTGTCATCATACTAGCATCAAGGCTGCCAGAATGGTTTGAATGATATACATATGAGGTTTAACGTCCCAAAACCATCATATGATTTCGAGAAACGCCGTTGTGGAGGGCTCCTAAAATTTTGATTTCCTGGGGTTTACTAAGGTACAGCCCAAATCTGAGCACACGGCCTTACAACATTTCCGCCTCCATCGGGAACGCAGCCGCCGCAGCCGTCCGGAATGGCCGTCGATCGCTGCGTCGACCATGAGCGCTAGGCTTCCGATATGAATGATGCCATCTACGTCTGCTCGGGGTGTATCGATGGCCTGTGTGCTGGTGTTTCATTGAGAACCTGTGTGTAACGCCAACGCAGCCACCGAAATTTTCTGGGCAAATGTCCTGCTGGAATGGTGACGAAACCAAGGCGATTCGGCTGTTCCCTCTAGAGATAGCTCCCAAACTGCTGGTCGATGAGCTGCGCTCTGTAGTTGCAGCCTCAATGAGGTAGACCTGAACTCCATCTTCGTAGTGGTCGCGTTACACTGGGTGGTTGTCGAGAGGTGGTGGTGACTGCATCCAAAAGCATGCAGCTATGAGCTTGGTGCTCCAGCCCGTCAAGGACTGCTGCCGCACGCCTTCGTATAGATGCCACGCCGTGGCAGTATTTTGAAGGTGGTATATAGCCTTGTACCGCTTCTTTTGGTCCGTCCAGGCTTCGCGATCTTCGAGAGCATTGACAATTGCCACCCATTCCTCTGCATTGTACTGGAAATCGTGAAACCCTGGTAGTTCGAAGGCGGGCAGTGGTGTTGACACGGCATGCGAAACTCCTTAAAATAGTGATGCGAGCCAGCTCAGTTGGTGGGAAAACTCGGTAAGGGTGCGCCGAAGCTCTCTGTGGCTCTCTGGTGAGCTTCCTCCAAGACCTTGCGATGCAGCTGCGGTCAATGCTTCATCGATCACGTGCTGTACTGGCAAGACCACAGGCATGAGCACTGAGGTCGCTGCTGTCAAGGCCTTGTCCGCGAAGTCGAGTCGTGCGACGTTTTAGGGCCGAAGCTCCTTATAGGCCTCGAGAGCTGGTATGGTGGCGCTGCGCCGCTAGTACAACCAGCACCACAAGTAGTGGCCGCGCACGTAAGCCTGTCGCGACATGTTGCGGGTGGACGGCCCGCGCGAGTTAAGCAATGGCAACGTGGAACGAGCAGCGTGTGTTATTCCGGGGATTCCGCAGGATTGAAAACGTGGATGATTACTTCAAAAGAATTAGTCTTCACCGAGGCATTGATCTATACGCCAGCAACCACGTATACGGCGTCAAGGAAGACATTATATCTGCAAATGGGCGCTCTGAGGTTATCGGAAAATGTGTTGCTCAAATGAAGAGCCTAGACTACGACGTGCGCTTACAGGTAAGTAATGTTTAATTAAGATCTTTTATTACTTACGTATCGCATTTACGTATCGCATGCGCCTCGAAGGGACGGAGATGGGCCGGCTCATTTGATCCCCGCTTCAAAGATGCTCGGGGGGTCTTACATATTTGAACTTGATACGCGACGCGACAGCGATAGCAAAATCCCGTCGAGACTGTCGATATAATAGCTCTCGCATTAAAATATCATTTGTCTCTATCAAGCAACGACGTTCGCAACTTTCACGCCCATACTTGTTATTCAACAGGAGTCTTCATTGTCGGTGTTCAGACTTTCTCTTTTCGTGCCTGCCCATTCGTTCTGGCTATTCGATAATTTCTACGCTTTTATTTTCCAGTTGTCTTCACAACCAAGGGACATTGTGGCAGGCAACTGCACGTGTAAGGCTGGGTGCCGAGGTTGGTGTAAGCACGCCGCGGCCTTGGCAGTATGTGTAAAAAAGTGGAAAAGTGCATCGTGCACGGACCTACCATGTGCCTGGCTGGGGCCTTCGGCGTGCCCGCTCCTAGACGCGAAGAAGAAGATCAAGGACCTTTTTACAGGTAAAACATTGAGTACACCATGGCAGGTGCTTCAATAACAACATCCTACTATCGCCCACCCAGGTCGCCTTTTGCCAGCGCTCACACTAAAGCCGTTGTGTCCGACGGTAATGCTGTCACAGTTTCCGGATTTGAAATGCGCCCTAAGGCAGGTTCAGGATGCAGAGAATTGCTCAGCTAATGAAAGCAGTGCAGTGAATACCGCTTCTACTGAGGATAGGACTAGACACTTAGATCCCGAACACATGAGAGAAATCCTTGAACAGGAGCGCAGTATTTACCACGTGATGAAAGTTGGATGCACACTTCTTTTGAAAATTCAAACCTGCGACATGTTGGCCCCCTTGACAAGCCCTGAAAGGGTGTTTTATGAGACAGCTGTCCGCAGAAGCGTAGCAGAAATCTTGGATATTGAACTCCACACTAGGGATCAATTTAAAGTTCAAAGGTTTGTAATGGGTAGTGTAAATGGCCACTTGTCTGGCCTGGCATATTATTGTTCACTGTTTTACTCTGTATACCATACTGCTAATTACAGGTGGCATGAAGATCGGCGCCTCCGTATTACGAGTTCAACCACTCACAGGATCAAAACAAGGGAAGGAAAATTTGACAGCCTTACAGAGTCACTTGCTAGGCCACGTCCGTTTTCCACTGCGGCCACTTGCTATGGTAAACAATCTGTCGTATGCCATATTAACCATGTGAAAAATCCTCCGACCCCGTTGCTGTTATTCCTTTCGTATATTATTAATATACAAACCTGTTATGTTTCAGTAAAAAAACAAGGAAGACGAAGCCAGGCGAGAGCTTGCTAGGGCCTTACGGGCTCCTGTTATTGAGGTAAAACCACAGCTGCAAAAATTTTCACCGTTCACTGATTCAAATCTCATGAGCAGGTTGGACTGATTGTGCACCCCCAACAGCCCTGGCTCTGCTGCAGTCCGGATGGATTCATATTGGCTGAGGGCACAGCTTGCGCAGTGGAGATAAAATGCCCTTTCTCACTGAGAAATCAAGAAGAGCTTGCTGCAGAAAAGATGATCTGCCACACTAAGTACATACATTAAGTTAACGGCAGGCTAGCACTGAGGAAGACACATCCATATTACACACAAATTATGGTTGCGCTGTACATCTTAAACCTTAGGAAAGCATTGCTTTTTGTGTACTCGAAAAAAACAGAAACTGAGTATAATAATTGAAAGGGATGAGAAGTTTCTGAGTGAGTAAATACCCAAGCTAGAGTGGTTTTATTTCAAACACATGTTAAGCCAGCTCTCAAATTGCCCTAAGTGAATTCATCCGTTTAGATGTTAAACTTCAAGTGTCGACACATCCAACTTGGTGATGCAGTGGAATGTTCCACCTGGTCATACGTAGTTTCAGTACTAGTTAATAACTGTACTGAGGACGTTCTACGTCATAGGGCTTTCAATTCAGAATGTCTCATTCGTGGCGCAATGTGTCCTAAATTAACCTTATTTCTCGATTAGTCAAGTTCATAACATAACATGTTCATAAGATTTATATTTTAAAGATTATCAAGCATTAACCTTTCATTAAAACAGGAAACGTTTTTTTTACATTTAATGTATCTTTAAGCAAGCTCGCTGTGGGAACCACTCAGCGAGGTCAAGTAAAAGCGCAAAAAGTATATTGTACCGAATTTCATTTTATTCGTCACGTATGCACAATGGTCATGTAGAGTGAATTCAAAACACACAAATGCTAAGTAGGCACAATGTACAGAACAACAAAACGCAATGTAAAAAAACTGTGTCCAACGTTGTCCTGTAATGTAAAAAAAACAGTGTCCAGCGTTGGACTGCATCATGTGAGCAGCTGCTTCAAGAATGCAAGCTTTGCCAAGAACATCTGGCAGAGAAAAGAATGCCAATCAATATAAAGGAGCATTTGTGTTCTTACTCATTTTGTATTGCATGTGCTCATGCTTTGATTGGGTGAACATAATTTTTACCTGAGCCCAGCAAACCTCCCCTGCAAGGCTGTAGATGTTGTAAATATTATTCATTCGTTGATTCTGGGTATTTATTTCGCATATATGTATAGTTTATTTATTATATGTTGTTTAATTCTTGTAATGGATCTGTGTTTTCCTGGTGTTTAGTTAGCCAGAGTGCGTATGTGTGTACCTATTGATCAGAATACAAGTTACTTGTTCTCGCAACTGTTGGGTCTGAATCTTTCTTTGGATCATTAGTAGCATTTGCTGGCATGCTGAAAGGCCTCTGGCTGATTGTACATGCTTTCATGGATTGTTTGGGGACGGATATGAGTAAGAGAACCTATTTGTCATAACAATAGCTTTCAAGCAAATATTGTTTAGGAGCCCTTATGCTGTTCTTCACTGTCACGCTTACGTTCGCTGAAAATCGGCATCTGAAAGGTAGCAAGGATACAACACATACGCATAATATCACCCATGTTATGAATCAGGTCAACAGGAATTCTTGTATTTAGCACATTAAACATTTTCACGCGCCCCCTCTTTTTTTTCGCGCGCGTCTATTTTCTTATTCGCTTTCTTTCCAATCTTTCTTCCCTATTCCCCCTTTCCCTAGTGCAGGGTAGCAAACCGGATGCTCCATTTTCTAGTTAACCTCCCTGCCGTTTCCTCATTTTATTCTCTCTCTCTCTCTTCACACGTTGAATGACTCTCTCAACATGGATGCGCACCTGAGCAACATTATATGTCTCCAACAATTCCTCATGAGTGAACTGCCCATTCCCTTTTGAAAAGGGTGGCAAAACCAAAATTGCTTTCTGGCCTTCAGTTGGTGCTTTAATGCCCGGAAAGCTCTTATCTGTTAACACAATGTCACCAGGTTCTATCCTGTCAAGAAATTCAGACTCTAATTTTATGCGTGTGTCAGATACCCGTCCCCCATATGCATCTGACAAAAATGTCAGAACCCCGTTTGGCAGAATTCCTATAAAAAATTTCCATGTGTAACAAACCTTATAGTGGGAAAACAGTGCCCTTTTTGTTCTACAGTAGATGGCTCCTCAGTACCTATCTCTGTGCAATCTGTAATAAATCTACATAGAGGATAATGTAACCTAAAGCATGCTGGCATTGATGCTTGGACTGCAGAAAGAGACGGCTCCGGTATGAATTCTGTCAAGGCACTCAGTTGCTCAATACGAAGAAAAAAATACGGCTAACCCCTGTGCAGTGCAAACCGACAAGTGCTCCAAGGCTAGCAAATGAAATACCGAGCTTTAATTTCATGAGGAACATCACCAGCTTTTGTGAAACTGGTACATCGACCCACCGAGCATTCATAGGAGAAAGTAGGAATGTCAGCAAAGCAAATACATGACTGCTAACACCACAGAGTTCCCTGAAAGCATCTGGTCGATCAACGAGAATGCTGCACCCAAGGAACACGCGGCTACGCTCGTCCGGTCCTGTGCTTGTCGTTGTTGTAGCTGGCGTTGCCCGCACTGCTGTATGTGTCGTGTTTGGATAGCACACCTGCGTACTTGCTGAGCCTCCCGATGACAGAAAAATAAAAACGCTGCAAGGACCACTGGTATGACTTTCTTCTGTTTGAGTTGCCAGAAAATATGAAACACATGTTTTTGTGATTACATTACTCGTAAATTATTGTGATAATGTTTCCAAAGGGTATACAAGTACAGGCAGTCACAAGATGCAGAACTGCAGCAGAAATCATGCTCACACTGTAAACAAAGCAGTTCTAACTGTGCGAGTACATCAGGAAGCTGCAGCTGCTTCACAGTTATCAGTGTCGGTTATTTGTGCCCTGTTAGTGGTTACTGTTCTACATCACACTCTAAATGTGAAGTAAGAGAAGCAGGGATCAATGCGTGGATTACAGAAAGCCGTTGTAGGAAGTTATTTTGTCATCTCATATTTCTGATGAGCAGAAGCTCTTTACAGTTTCTTTATGGCCAACTGTGCAACTTTTCGTGCGCTGAATGCAAAGTTGTTGTGCCTTATCACTCTGTGTATCACAAGTGTGGTGGTCAGCGTTAAAAACGTTGCTGGCTGTTAATCAGCTTGACACACGACATGATTCTGGAGATTGACATTTGTCACCTTGATCTTACAAGAATAGCTCTAAAGACCGATCTTAAAAGATCTACATTATCTACCATCTCACGGTTGTATACTTCGTTCAAGGTACCCCTAGTGTGCCTGTTGCAAGTACGGAGCTTACAACCGATGCAAAAGCAATGGGCTCCTCGGCGCCAGCAATGTGCTCCACAGTGCCACCAAGAATGCCCTCTTTTTGTGGTGAAGCTTCACCTGGTGTTTTAGTGTTTACAGGTGGCTTTCCTGCAGCTGCAAATCCACGTCGTTCAAGTCTGGAACGGTACAATATAATTGTTTGTACAATTATTTTGCCGGGAATGTAGAGGTCCTTAAACCCCACAAAGCCCTTGAAAATGAAAAGCACACTTTTAAGGCCCTTGAAACTCATGTAATTGTTTTCTTTTATTGAAAACCCTTTAATACTCTGCCAAACGCCGTCTAATATTCACTATGCTGCCTGCTTTTTACGAGAGAAGAGCATTCATGTGGCAAACTCTCCATTTTGAAACCAATACAGTGCCGTAGGTGCATACGTCTCAATTCGCATCACTTGCGTGGATTTCATAACTGAATCGCTAATGAGGCTAGAAACATATATTGGGACTGTAGTGGGTCTCTGCAGTGTAGTCATCTTTGTAGTGTGCAATTGCGAAAATAACATTGCGTGACCCCATAAAACCTTTTTCCCCTCCGTACTGCACCGGTGTCATTAGAAAATATAGCTCGCTTAGATCATGAATTTCCATACAACCAACCAAAACCGTATTTTAAGCTTTAAAAAATAACTGCATTTTACTAAAGCCATAGTGTAGGAACGCTGCTTCATGAATGCTACCCTGTGATGTCATTTGCAATGCATCCACTATGCTAACTTGACCGTTTTTTCACTGCCATGACATCAGATGTTGGCCGCCAGGCATTTTTTTCTCCACATATATTACTTTCATTGAACCCACTAGGCCGCTTGGGTGAGTAGCGCGAAGATGGTGACGAGATGAGTATGCAAACAAGAAACGCAGGAAAACAAAATAGAAAGTGAAAATCATGCTTGTAAATCAATAATACGAACATCCGTACTCACCGACGATATCTCTCAAGCTTCGTAGAAGGTATCACGGCGTCGCCTTTCCCATAGCACTTCGGAAAAATTGTTCGAATGTATGCTGGGTGTTGTGCTATATAACTTCTCTCGTTACCCACGAAGTGGGCACTGCATATGCACATTTGGTTCTTCACATGCTGCCAAAGGCCTCCATCAGGACTAAATAGGCAGAGTTGACGACCACGATTGCCATTTATGCACAATGAAGGCCAAGAAAGCCCAGAAAAAAAAAGAGCGTCTGTTTACCTTGCACGTCTCACTGCCCTGATCCAACGCTCCCGTCGCTCGGTTTCGTACGGCCTCCAAGGAAATCCGCATAACTCTATCTTTGGCACCTTACCGGCAGTGTTTCTGTAGCTGTTGTGACAGCCGTACACACAACAATACACAGTTCCGGCCCTTTTTGACCGCGATTTATCTTTGTCTTTTCGAGCTGCCATGCTCGCGACCGTACTCACTCGCTTCGCAACACGACTGACTAGGAGCGCGCCACGTCGCTGGTGGCACCACCTGTCCAGTGAAAACTGCAGCGCACTAGGCCCATAACGGCACTTGTTCATCCCTCGTAGCCGTTGTAGTAGTGTGTAACAAGTATAACATTTTGACCTCCAAGGTGGTGCCGGTGAGAGATTTCTTCTGTGCTTTGTTGAACAATAAAAGACAGTGCTCAATGTACATTCCAGTGGCTGCTAAGTAGGAATGAAAGACGGGAGAATTCAGCTTTTATTTAACGCGCACGCAACGAATATTTCATTGTTCAACAACGCACAGAAGACAAGAAAGTGTCATTACGTTATACTCGCTGGGCCTAACTTCCTAGGTTTTAGAATGGTTTAGCGAGCGTTGCGTTACACTGCCATGAATACTGTGAACTAGTATATACCATGAAGTAGAGGTGGTTAAAGGTGGGATGTAGACACGAAGCGCAAGCCGCAAGAAAGTGTGCGTGTGCCTCCTCTGGTTCAGTCCTTGGAATGCCCACTGGATGGCGGTGCTTCTATATGAGGAATATATGATGAAAAGATGCGACATGGTGGTACTTGGAGTGTTGAATAGGTATACGAACGGACACACAGGCAGCTGCATGGACGGGCGCACGGATGGCTGCGCAAACGGATGGACGCATGTACGGACGCAGGAGCGGATGCATGGACGAAAGCAGGAATGGATGCACAGATGAACGTGCGGACGCACGAACAGACGCACGCACGGGCGGGCGAATGGACGCACGGGCGGCCACACAGACGCACGCATGGATAGACGGAAGCAAGAACAAATGGATGGACGGATGCTTCGTCCCACTATCCATCATTCACTCCGTGGATATGCTGCCATTTTTTTTGGGAAAGATCGACGTGGCTTTCAGGTGAACCACCTGTGGATCCATGGGTGACGTCCGAAGATATGGAGTACTCCTTGAGTAGCGTACTCACTGCAGTGGTATTCTTGGCGGAGAGTGCTATCACAGCACCCTTGAGCGGCCGAGGTGCCCACGAAGTACGGAGTGAGAGGTTGTGGGCAGTGCAAATGTGAACACCGGTACCTCGTTCGTGCTTCGCATATCATTGAGTCACACTGTACGTGGGATCTGGAAATTTTTATTTTAGGTATTTTCCCCTCCTCACCTAGTCACGCTGATATCTTCGGCGGGCGTTGTTGCGTTTCACAATAGGCTTTCGACACTTTGCGTTCCATGTTTCCAGAACTATATAATTTGGTCAAGCATGTGCCCTAAGCAGCTAGTCCACCGGCCACTTATCACTGTGAAGTCCCGCACCATAACCGCAGCTCCAGTGGTGACCTCTAGAGGCATTTACTGTCGTCATTGTGTGTCATGTCGTCGTGGTCATCAACAAGACATGTATGCGACCTACAATAAATGCAGTTATGCATGCGTGCTTTTCTGAGACACTCAGCAGCAACTTCGCACTGCTTCTCCAAGCATACACACCACTTGTTTTGTCTCCTCTTAGAGTGTGGTGTTGCCTTCACCATCAGCCCGACAACCATGCTTGGTTTTCTCTGTGGGCGCCTGTTGTGAGAGCACGTCACTCTTTATTTCTTGCACAGTAGAAATATTATTTTGAAGACGTGAAACAAATGCACATGAAGCAGGTAGTGTTAATAAAAGACAGATATGATTGGTGGTGCCAGGATTGCTAATTTACACAGGAACTTCAATAGCTCCACATTAAAAAACAAATCTCGTTTATTACTACCACGTCTTTTAGTGAAGGTCACACATTTATTTGTATGCTCAGTGAAATTTGTGTTAGTCCTTTGCTGTCTGCGATGTAGCTTTCCGTGGTTGCGTATGCGGCGAGATTCCACGTTCACTTTTCTAATTCAGTGTCTGCTCTTGCATACAAAGAACTGAAACAGGATACCTTGCGTTTTCACGAACAAAACACTTGTTCAGCGTATTCACAGGATACACGTGGTGTCCAAGTCATGGTTAGAACGCGACCTAGATGAGTTTCTCCTTTACAGTAACTTTCAAAATTTCTAGTGGTAGTTTCTCGCCCTAATAATAAATACTTGTTTTGTTCTGTATGAGATATTTCTGGCTTTCGTCACATCTTCTTTCATTCAAACGCACAATAACTGCTCACGCCCTTCACTGAGACTTTTGAAGTATTCGCAGACCTTCAGTTCATTGCAGCGCAATAGTGTTTTGCTAAGCTCTCTTGAAAAGAGATAAAAGTAGCAATATAAAATCTGGTGGCAGAATTAAGTCTCATAGATATAATTAGATAGAGACAAAGCAAGATAAGGCTGAGAAAAAAAGAGAGGGGGGCAACAAACTGAACGATAGCAAAAAATGTGAAGATAGCGAAACACTGCAAAGAAGTTTTGAATCAAGGTTCAACCCTCGTCTTTTGGTTCGTTAACACTGCTTCTTTTTTTCGTAAAAGTCCTGCAAAACAGAGTGCATTCGCACAGGCACTGTCATATTCCTTTTTAAATACAAAGTTTAAAGAATCACAACTAATTTACCTCAGCAATTAGGTTGTGTGAACTTTAAAGTTTTCGAAGGTAAAAAAAATCAAATCAAACATTTTATTGATCTGATAAAAGCACTTAACAAATTAAAATATTTTTGAGTGTTTGAATCAACAGTACGCACGTGGATAATTAAAGCAGCCCATCGTACACATTAGTTTTCATCATGTGACCACAATGAGTTCATCAAAAACGCTTGCCAACACAGTTGGATGTAACTTCTTAGGAGAGCATATGGAAAAATTTAACTTCTTATCATAGCAACGTAAGCATTGTAATATTTTATAAACTGTGGGTCAATACTTGCATTTAGAATACACACAGCCGAAGCTGCATTTTGCCTATACTGACACTCGCTGAATAGTTTAGTGGAGCTGGATACTACTACAGTCCTCTAAACTTTTAGGGAAACATTGTGTAGCATTTCAAGTTTGTACAGAATGTCGCTAGCGAGAACATTAAAAATATAAGAGTCCTGATTTATCTGGCCTGTGTTTGACGCAATTAGGAGCCTGAAGGACCCAGAGCTCCGGGATAGTGCGATAAAATTTCTCGACTAGCAGGCTGCTTGGAAGATCATGCGAACCATGTTCTTGCGACTTCGAGGGGTTACACCATTAGGACAGTAGGGTTATTAACTTTGTTAGCTTGTTTGAACACGCAGAGTTTCAGCTGGCTCATAAACGAGCAACAGAATATTTATTGAGAGCCCGTTTGCCACAAGAAACGACGACATCGTGTTCATTTATATTGTTCACAAAGCTTGTGACTTCGTCACTGTATTAGAAACGTAGGTCCCACAGGACACCAGAACAAGCTTGTCAGCTGCTTGTCAAGTCGCGCAATAGTACGTTGCCGCTTTTGAGGGCGCGTACTATTGCCAAACGCCCAACAAAAAAGACCCCCTACCGGCAGGAGCGTTCATACTCATAACTGCTTCGCAGATGGCCCACGAAGCAACGCGGCATGTTATTTGGCCCTAAAAACACCACGTATAGTGTCGGGCAAATGAAACATCATGGTTAAAGCGAAACATTTTAGCAAAACCCCGAAAGGCTGACAGAACGTCCTTCGACATTTTATAACCTTGCCGTCGACAATATATAACCTTGCCGTCTCCTGTGGCGTAGTCACGACAAGCGTGACTACGCCACGGGAGACGGCAAGGTTACGAAGATCGCTTCGCAGTTTTCAAGCTGACGGTAATTGAGTAACGTTCATTTCTAAAGTACAAAAGCTAGTATAACAGGCTTGAACTTTTTCTATCTTTTCTAGAGGTGGGAGGAATGAAGGGTGGCTTGTTGCTTTGCGTACCTTTGGGTCATCATGTGTACCTCTCGAGCTTTACAGCCACATCGCAACAACTGTTATGCAAAGTTCTTCAACGGTTGCTTGAAGATTTCACGCACGCACACAAACACGCGCACACGCACGTACAGAACACGCACACGCACACACACACAAAAGCATAATTTGAAAAGCATCATGCATATGTGTTCACTTCAGTATATCTTACTAGAAACATTACGGTGCGAGTGAAAGGCGGCTCACAGCAGTTCGTTGGTAAAGCCTGCACTAGACCTGCCTGATGCCTGCTGCGTAGCACCTCTCCTGTCGGCAAGCTACTTAAAACGTTGAAATACGTAGGCATGTTATAGATCTACATTAGGTGTAACAGAGTGAAAATTCGAGTCTAGGCAACAAATGTTTCTGGCTCTAGGTGAATAAAGATATCGTACCTGTGTGTCCTAACAGACAGTAAATGTATAAACTTAAAGAGTGTGAAAATAAACGAAAGTGGAATGTCACGAGGTATAGGTTGTGTTTGCGTGGTGGTTAGTTCGTTATGTGGTGGAAATTGCTTAACAACACAAGACCGTGGTATAATTATGAAGAACGCTGTTGTATGACAGTGTCATCGATTGGCAGATTCAGAGTAGCCGACAAACTCCGCGCCGGAGCACTCCCTCTGGCTGAGGGCAACAGCAGGGAATCTATCAATGAAATCCATGCACTCAAATGCCAGGGCAAGAAAGGAATGCGATGCGCGCGTCTCTTTTCTTGCGTGAGTGAACGCGCTCTGCACAGCGGCGCCACGCTTGTAAAACGCCAACTCCCA